ACAAAATATCACAAAATATAGTTTAAAAAGAAAGTGAAATGAGGCGAAACACACTCTGCGGTAGAACATATCCTAATAGAGTATATATGTGTTTAACGATGTGCACAAAAAAACTACCTGGTTGATACGCAGAAAGGGTACAAGCTGAGCATTTCCGGCAGTAGGAGATGACACATTTGGTGGCGTATTAGAGTGTGTACACATCGATTAACAAGGCCCAATCTCTAATACCAAAGTTATAAGCTCGAAAAGAAACATAAAAGCTTCTCTAGAACGCTGCATTAATATATGCATAGAAAGTTCACTTCTCTATTAATATTTTAAAGAAGTGAACTATATATACCACATGTCATGCTAATTGAGTCAAAACGTATATACGCGATGTTAAAGAGTCAAATTGCAGGCATCCTAGTCGTCAAGTCTTGGATCTTCATAGTCTTCAAAATCTGGATCAACGTATTCAGTAAACCGACTGGGCTGGGGACGATTTCTGGAAAGGATTTTGATTAATGTCTTCATTAGCGATTGAGTGTGAAACTGTGCATAGAATAGGGCACGGATGTGATGGACGGCTCTTTGCTTAAATGGTGGCTGTTCATGCCAAATAATACAAATTCTGAAAAGTTGATAATGTTCTCACAAACTACATAGAAACAGCTCTTAGTGATGGGATCATTAACAAAAAAGTCATGATAGGTAGCAATACTAGTCAAAATACCCATTACTGTAGATATACACACTGCACTAGCATTATGGCTAGTAGTGGGTGTTTGATCGTAGACAAGAATCAGATGGCAGAATTGCTAAGCGACCTTGATCTAGTCTGATTTTACTGAACCTAGTGTGGACAAAGCAAAAAAAAGCTTGAAGATGAGAGACTATAAATGCGTGTGATTCATCCTAACAAACTAGTGCTGCAGGAAAACCATGCGTCCAAGTAAATTATTTCAAGATTAAGAGAGGATCAAATTTTGAGAAGGTTGGTGGAAGCCAAACACTGTTCCTAAGAGGGAGAAGCGGCTGGAAGACCGATATTAACATTAATCCTCATACGCATAAAGTGCTTTATAAAAGTTACACTCATGCCAATGGCCGTAAAAATAGAGTTTTCACAACTAAGGCTTTACCGTATAAAGATGTAATGGATGAGATTTTCAATGGCTAGATTAAAGCAAATTCAGTATAATATAATACGACACAGGTGGTCTTTGCTGTGTCTTGAATATGAAGTTTTAGGGGTACAAGTTCGTTCAGAAAAACGAGATAGGTTCGTACAAAAACATATTGAGCATTTTCTAACATGAAATTGTAAAATTTGGAACATTTGATTATTAGCCAACAAGATATATACGAATTACACAACTTGAATTATCAGTTAAGTATTTTCTGCGCTCATTTAATACACTAAAACTTGCTGAAGGTCTTGTTTCTGTAAAAGATGAAAAAATTCTTAATTGTGAGTTGTTAAAGGATGATGGGGATGACATAAGTGCTACATGTGTTGACATACATAGTTAAATTGCAATTGGTATCACGCAGGCAAACATGCGGTCTTACATTCTCCTATTCTTGATTTCGAAGATTCTCCTAAACAGAGATGGCACAACGTGGACAACACGTAGAACGGACGTTACGATAACGAACTAAGCTAGCATTGAACACACAGAATATGAACAGACTACGACGGTATAACATTTGTGAAGGATTGTCACTCAAAGTAAATGAAATCTAACCTGTTAATGCTGTCAAGGCTAATGGGATTGCTCTCCCTTACTTGCTTTCCCAAACTTTCAAACCTTTGCTCCCAGAATTTTGGTGTGCGCAGAGCGGCGCTCAAATAAGATGAGCCATTTGTGCGCCAGTCAGGGTCTCCCTAAACGACATTACCTTTTTTAGAAAAGATATTGATAGCCTAAAGAGTAAAGACTTCCATACTTTTGTGAACATGTATCCAGAAACTGGAGTTGATCCCTTGGTATTCACTTCGCCTAGCAGTTTTGTTTCCCACTCTTGCGGGCTGAAATACTCACTATCAACAGCACCACTATATCATTGCTAATAAGTGCTATATATACAAGAATGCCTTGCCTAACATTGTTTGAAGAAAATTACAAGTTTTTTGTGATTTAGTATTTGTATAAAAGGATTTTATAGATTAACGCAAAGATAAGCCCATATTTTCATTTTATCAAAACTAGATAAAATACAAGCAATTACAAGATTAAACCAGTCATTCAGTTGAACGAACCCTCTTGGTGTGTATTTTCCTTCCGGACGTTTGAACAGATCCACGGAATGTTGGAGATCAAAGTCGAAGTAGTCAGGATCATCTCGATTCGGTCGAGAGTAATACGGCTTTGGACAATATCTCTGCAAATAAGATAGCTATGTAACGATAGTCAGAGGTATGTGGTTGACGATTAAAGGATGGTAAAATTACGGAAAAGTCGTAGTCATCCAACTCTGACGCTGATCCAGCTGATGGAGCAGGAGCATTGCGAAATTCTTTGGCGGTAATCACCTTCATGTGCGCGGGAAGGGGAGCAGTCTTTAATAGCCTTAACGAACAATTTGTTGCCCGATAATCATTCGTTGTATGAGGAATTCAAAAACGAATCTCACATGGCTTCAACATCATGCGCTCTTCGCTCATATCGTGATTCAGTTCCTTGAGAGGATGAGACTGCTGGCGCAGCGTATGGCCCAGAACCTCCTGGAAATGGAAAGTGGACTGTGGCTGTTGCGATTTGATCCCATGAAAAATCAAAACCAACTAGCGAAGATATTGCTCGTGGAGGAGGACACGAAGCGTGAACGGTCAGATAGGGACGGCATGGTGACACTACTTTGCGACCTGATGCATGAGTTCTTGTAAAAAAAGAGTTAAATAATTTTAATTAATTTTCTTACCTAATGCTCGGAATGAAGCCAGTGCTTGTATCTAACTGCCTAAATGGACTTTCGGCTCTGCATTTTCTCGTTCGACTAAGCGCGGATTCCAGAAACTGCGTTTCATCTTTACTTCTTTCGACTGATCGTTTAGCCTTTACTGAAGACCTTTATCGATTAACCGATTTAGTTTAAAATCAATTACCTTATGATATGAATCTTTTACACTTTCCTGCCAAGTTTTCCAAGCAGGTTTCTTGTCATCCATCAGTCCCTCAAGCCTGTCATCGAAATCGATTCTTGGAAATCTTGGAGCTGCTTGTGGAAATCGTAGTCGACTGAAATGTACATTATAGTTAGCTGTTCACGACTCCAAAAAATGGCTAGCACTGGTTGACTCAGAGTTTGTTGTTTTTTTCCACAATGATGTAAACGTTTTGAAACATCATACTATCCATCAAGACTCTAGAGCTGATAGTTGGAAAAAAAATTAGAAGAGTAATCCCGTTGATGACTTAAATCTAAGGCTATTTCAGTTTGCGCTCAATTAATATTC